GCCGCCACCGAGCTCCTTCGGCAGCAGCTGGCCGGGGGGCAGCCGGGTGACGCGGGCTCCCTGCGCTCCTCCTGGCGACCCGTGCGTGGGGCAGGGGCAGAGGAGGTTGCCACAGGAGCAACCAATGGGTACTGAGACTTGAGGGGCTCTTCGTGACATCACTGGTTATGGTAGCCTGATACAGAGAAGTGCTGTTTAAAAGCAAAACCACCTTGTAAAAACTGTTTTTCATACTGCCTTGCAGTTTATTTGGAAGCCTTGCCAAAGGACAGCTAGGATGGGTCCATCACAAATTGTTCCTACGAACTGTAGCAGAAGGGGGCAGCCTTGACTCCTGTTGCTGCTGTGCTTGTTGATGCCACAAGTGCAGCGGCTGACCAGGCTGCAGCCAGTGAGGTGATCTCCTCTTCAGAAGGAACAAAACACGAAACAGAAAATGGAAAAAGCGAAGTTAATCACTGAGCAATTCATAGTTCCAGAAGAACCTATAGCTGAGCTCCATCCCCATAAATGTCTTAGGTAAGTACTGCCGAAACCTCTAACTGAAAGTGCATGAACACAGAGCTGGTAAAATGTGTCTTTTTTATGATTTGTCAGGAAGATATTGTGTGGAAATTAATACACAGAAATTAATGAAGGAAGGATAATTTAATCTGCCCATCACTTAAAAATATAGCATCGGTTCTCTATTACTAATATTTTATGTTGTTCTTCAGGTGGAAAGACTGTAATTTCTGGGTTAGATTAGAATAGAATAGAATATTTCAGCTGGAAGGGACCTACAACCATCACCTAGTCCAACTGCTTCACCACTTCATGGCTGACCAAAAGCTAAAGCACGTTATTAAGGGCATTATCCAAACACTTCTTAAACACTGACAGGCTCGGGGCATCGACCACCCCTCTGTGACGACCGCTCCAGTCATCCCTCAGCCCCCTTTTCCCCAATCCAGACAATCCCAGAGCCCTTAGCAGCTCTCTGTAGGACATGCGTTCCAGCCCCTTCACCAGCTTTGTTGCCCTCCTCTGGATGCATTCAAGTACCTCAACATCCTTTTTAAATTGTGGGGCCCAGAACTGCAGCCAGTACTCAAGGGTGAGGCCGCACCAACACTACAGTGGGATGATCACCTCTTTTGACCACTGGTTATGCTGTGTTTGATACATCCCAGGATGCCATTTGCCCTCTTGGCTGCCAGGGCACACTGCTGGCTCATACTGACCAGCACCCCCAGATCCCTTTCTGCAGGGCTGCTCTCCAGCCACCTCTCTCCCAATTTATACCTGTGTCCAGCATTACTCTGTCCCCGGTGCAGAATCCGGCATTTGTTCTTGGTAAATTTCATGCCATTGATGATTGCCCAATACTCCAATCTATCCAGATCCCTCTGCAAGGCCTCTTGTTCCTGGAGAGAGTCAACAGCACCTCCCAGTTTAGCATCATCAGGAAACTTACTAGGGGTGCGTTCAACTCCTGCAGCCACATCATTGATAAAAATATTGAACAGAACTGGTCCTAGAATTGAGCCCTGAGGAACACCGCTGGTGACTGGTTGCCAGCCAGGTGGAGTCCCACTCACTACAACCCTTTGTGTATAAGAAGCTGAACTGTTAGTCATGGCCATCACTGTGAGACTCCGTGCTGCCTGGACCTGTGCCACTGACAATCTGCAGAGAGAAATGACCTCTGGAATAGGATCTGCTAGTCTACAGATAGCCACAGACTGCTGCAGTTGGTGTCCTTAGTCTAAGGCATTGGCTGATGCTGTGCAAAGAGGGAAGGACCAGGGCTTGGTCTGTTGCAACCCACTGCGCTTCTGCGATGCTGTGTGTCCATTGATGACAATCCTTTGATGACAATGACTTCTGTGCCGGCTGCCAGAATATGCACTGCCATGTTCCGTTACATTTCAAATTTGATAAGGTTTGTGGCTTTCTGTCTGGTATGTTTTCTCTCCAGTGACAAATTACAGGAGAATTACTGCCCGAGAGCTCAGCTGTTTATCCAGTACTTCTCAAATGAGGACTGCTATTGGTGGGAGTCATCTACCAAAGGACTGTATGGTGAGCACAGCAGTCTCAAAATGCCCACTTCTGTCCATCAGAAAACCCTCCATCTTACTGAGATTTAACAAGTTATTCTCCATCTACACAGTGGCTAGCACAAACGTTCTTTGGTTACAGGGCACACCTTGACTCTTACAATTCTTAACAGGCATTTACAAATCCTTTCCCCTCCGGTAGGGTTCTATGTGCTTTGTTTCTGTTTGGTTTTCTTTCTTTTTTTTTTTTTTCCTATTTCTTCTTTTTTGATAATTGCTTAATTGTAAAATTTGGGAATTTTCAACCACATTGAATCACTATGGCAGTAGGGCTATCCTAGTAATGCATACGCCAAATGAAAAGACTCCTGTAGGCTGCAGTTCTGTTGGCTGCAACAGAGCTATGCTAAGGTATAAACTTTCAGATTTGTGAACGTGACCATCCTGCAGTGTCAGCACAGGAATATGTGCTCAAACTATAATACATTCAGTAGCATATCCAGAATACAGTATAAGTAATATTCTCCCTATCTTATTTCAATGTCAAACAAAATAATTCTATTTGTGGAGCTTTCCTGAGTTAATGTGTATGGGACCAGAAGTTCAAATCTAGTCAACAGGATTGATTAATTTCAAATACAAATAAACATCATTAATAATCTAACCACCCACAAGCAGTTCACAGAGTCATAGAATAGTAGAATGGTTTGGGTTGGAAGGGACCTTAAAGATCATGTAGTTCCAATCCCCCTGCCGTGGGCAGGGATGCCTTCCACTAGACCAGGTTGCTCAGAGCTCCATCCAACCTGGGCCTGAACACTTCTAGGTATGGATCATCTACAACTTCTCTGGGCAACCTGTTCCCGTGCCTCACCACCCTCATCATAAAAAAAAATTCTTTCTTATATCTAATCTAAATCTACCTGCTTTTAGTTTAAAGCCGTTTCCCCTTGTCAGAGCAGAGTAGAGTGGCAGCATCACCTCCCTCGACCTGCTGGCCATGCTCCTCTTGATGCAGCCCAGGATATGGTTGGCCTTCGGGGCTGCAAGCGCGCATTGTTGGCTCATGTCCAACTTTTCATCCACCAGAAATTATAACAACTGAGAAATATAAGAAATTATGAGAGAGGTAAGATATGAGAAGTTCTAACAATTGCTATTAAAAAACTTGCAGAGAATTTATGTATCCTTTGTGTCTTTAAAATAATGTTTTTAATACAAATATATCTGAAAACTACTGGGTAAATATATGATCTGAAGTTAGAATACAAATATAATAACATGCCTAAAGATACTTTCTAGTATTAGACTGAAGTGAATCAAGCTTTTCTAGTATATTTGGATTCTGATAAACTTCACCCTCCTCAGTGGCTGCAGAAGAAAATGTAAACATACTTTTTAAAAGGTGTTAAAAATGTTAAAATACTGTATCAGCCATTCATAAAATTACAGATTTTTTTTGCTTGATAAGAATTGATGAAAATATCCAGTTCTTAATTTTCTCTTAATTAAATCTTATTAAAAAATCTCGTTAAAAACAGAAGCAGGAAAAAAGTATTCTACAATACCTTCTCGAAAAACTGATTTAGTGCTACTGCTCTGTGAAATAATCCAAGATGACTCTACAGCATGACCAAGGAGAAACAATGTCTGTGCTCCCTCTCCTGGCCCTGCAGCAGCATTGACCCAAGCAAATCCTGACCGTGCCGACAGCAGCGCTGAGGCCTGTGCACAACAGAGAGAACCAAACCGTGAAGCACCGTACGTACTGTTTCAGCTTCCTGAAAAAGTAAAAGTTTCTTCAAATGGAAATTAAAATGGTTAAAAAAAAATTTTATTTTCAAACTTCCTGTAAGTTTTTTTCAAGATCTGACAGTTGAAAAATATAAAAATGCCTCGCACAATGGACAACGGCACAGTCATTTTTAATCACCAAATCAGTTATAGAAATCCTGATCTCTGTAGTGGGCAACCAGAAAACTTTAAAATAATAGTTTATCTAATACATTGTGCACAAAGAAGATTTAAATAACCTTTTTAATGCTAAAATCAGATCCTTTTTAATTATCTAACTGTAAACCAAATAACTCCCCCAAAACCGAACAATAACAAATAAAAAACAGATAACCTCATCCTCTCAGGAGAGATTTATTTGTATATTTCTGTAGGAGGAACTCATGCGACTAAGGCTTCGCACCTTCACCTTACGTGATTCTGTATACTGTATTGTGAAGAATAGATAGTGTAAACAATACAACTTTCACCTCAAATATGACAGAAGATATCCTATAAATTTCTTTGACAGTGTTTATAATTTGTTCAACACGGAGCTCTTACATCTGTAGTATGAAGCCATCTTTGCTGGGTGTCCTGGTTTCGGCTAGGGTAGAGTTAATTTTCTTCCCAGTACCTTCTATGTTTTGGATTTAGTAGGAGAAGAATGCTGATAACACTGATGCTTTCAGTTGTTGCTGTAAATCAAGGATTTTTTCCAGTTTCTCACATTCAGCTAAAGAGCAGGTGTGCAGGAGCTGGCAGAGAGCACAGTCAGACAGACAGCCAAGCTGGCCAGTGGAAATGTTCCGTAACATAAATGTCATGCTCAGTTTATGAATGAGGTTGGCCAGGGGGCAGGGAGCATCCAGCTTCTCGGTTTGCTGGGAGTTTGAACTTTTCCGGGAGTTCGGCCTTTTTCAGGAACTTCGTGAAGTTTGAGAAAATCCAGGGGGGGTCCATGATCTCTGCTTGGTGACTGGCTTTGGATCTGTCGTTGGGTGGTAAGAAAAATTGTATTGTATAGTTTATTTTGCATATTTGTTATTATCATTAGTAGTAGTAGTAGTATTAACTTTCTTGTCTTATTAAATTGTCTTTATCTCAACCCACGAGTTTCCCCTTTTGTCCATTTTCTCCTCCCCATCCCGCTGGAGGGGAAGGTGAGGGGTGAGCAAGCGGCAGGAGTTTGGAATTAACATTTGGGATGGACCTACTTAATTACTAGGAAGCCAGCCTCTCTTCACTAGCAGTAAATCCCACGCACAGAGCATGTGCTTCATGACATGAAAGCTCAGACTGCAGCGTCACCGCTGCCTCCAGCCTCGACCAGGCTCATGGAGCCACCACATTCCTGCAAGGCACGGGGCCCTTGCCGCTGCCTCCGTCACAGCAGTTTGCCTGAGGGAGCTGGGGAACGTGGGCAGCTGCTCATCTAAGCACAGGCACAAACCCAGGTGTGGCTCTGCCCCGTAATCGTTCGCTCGCGCAGACCAGAACGACAGCCGGTACTTCCTGACCACACTAAGAAGACTTCTGGAACATGAAGCTCTGCTGGTTGGTGTCATAGGGGCAGAGTCGTGAGCTATGTCTTTCCTTTCCTGCTCCACCACATTTTGGGGAGGAGGCATTAATTACACCCTGGGCCCTTTCCCAGTCATCCTTCCCACAGGCACAAGCAGGGGCTAAGCTTAATTTTGCTGCCATTGGCAAAGTGGAGCAATCCTGTCACAGCGTTAGTACAAGCTAATGAGCAAGGACACAACAAGCTGTCCCCGCATTAGCACAAGCTAATGAGGTTCCACAACATGAGCATCCTGTATTACAAAACTGACCCATTTTATTTTTTAAAACACAAGGCCATTTAGAGAGACATGATATAGACTTAGCACAGTGTGAGTTCAGAAATGTGATATATGTTGTTAATATCCACTACTGGTAATGTCTATGTATTTAAGCAATAATAAAACCCACAGTGTTTCTGGTTTGATTGTAACAACTACTTCTGACCTTGACTTTCAAGAAAACCTGTTAAACAACTGTTACGTCAGTTCAAAAAGAGCAATGCTCAATTCTATGGCGTGCAATCTCAGGCTAAATGCTACATTCACCAGCTACAAATACTTCAAACACCTGTGGCTTTGAGATACTCTGCCAAAAACCTTTCATAGAATCGTGGCATGGTTGAGGTTGAAAGGGACCTCAGGAGGTCACCGGTCCAAACCACCTGCTCAAGCACGGCCACGTAAAGCCTTTTTCTCCAGCTCTATCATCGATCTTCTTCCTGCAGCAACAGAAAGCAGGAAAAGAGACACAATCCAATAGCCTAGGTCTGTTACACAGAAAGACCACGGTCATGGAAAGCTGCTTAATGTCCACAGCATATTTCATGATTAAATTTTTGTGGTTTCAAGATTAGAGGAAGGCATTCATTTTAAAGAGCATCTGCTCTGAAAGCTTTTACAGGCCCCCGTTTTTAACTGTCAATGGCTCAGTTTGATTCAATTCATTATGTAGGAGTCAACAGTAAACAAAACAAATCATAGAATCATTACAGTTGGAAAAGACCTCTAAGATCATCAAGTCCAACTGTCAACCCAACACCACCATGCCTGCTAAACCATGTCCCGAAGTGCTATACCTACATGTTTTTTAAACACCTCCAGGGACGGTGACTCCACCACTTGCCTGGGCAGCCTGTTCCAATGCCTGACCACTCTTTCAGTAAAGAAATTTGTGCTAATATCCAATCTAAACCTTCCCTGACGCAACTTAAGGACATTTCCTCTCGTCCTATCGCTAGTTGCTTG